GTGTAGTTAAGATAGCTCAGTGAAAATACCTGTTTTTCTTGAACTGGGAACACGATTTTCAGCTGGCTTTTTGTACAAGGTTTCCTTGACTATTCCTCTTCCTTTTATGACGATGACCCTGACCCTAAAATGCCTCTAAACGTCTTTTTCAGAGAAGGGGAAACATCCTGTGGACATGTGTACGTCCACAGAATGTCTTCCTTTCCTGCATCGTGTGGACATCTTTTGTTCACAAGTCCACACTAGGTATGTAAGATTAGCGCAGTCCAAAGTCCGTGCAGGTGGACCATATTTGAACTTTGCAAAGGTGCACAACTTGTGGTAACAAATATTGCTCAGTGAGCATGCCCGGCCCTGGAGTGTCAAAAAATATGATGGTGCATAAAGAAATATGACACCAACTGTCAAAGTGACTGTTGCAAATCAGTGTTTGTGGCAGTTGGTTACGAATTGTTGTACCTGGAATCAATGGTTGCCCCTAAATTTTATACCCAAGTCAACTCATGCCCAATTCAACTCATACCTGAGTCAACTTGTACCCACTAATTGAAATTTGGGTGCACGCTGTCATAATGAACAGCATTAATTATGAATGAGAAGGATTCCCGAGTGCTACTATTAAAATGATTGTATATCAAAAGTTGACAGTCATATCTTGCTTGGCAAGATATGACTGTCAATCAAGACTGGTTTTACTGTTTTGGCCAAAATAGTAAAACCAGTCTTGGGGCAAGACTACTTTATTTGGCACAACGGATACCCAGCAGGTGTAATTTTGTGTTTGTTTGAGAATAGTAAATAAATCATCTATTTTTCAGAAATATATTTTAATGTGTGATCGAGTGAATAAACGGACTACAAATTAAAAATCTGTGCAAATCAGGGAGGTGTACTTTGTCTTTGCGTATAATTTGTGATTTTCTGTGTAATACAAATGAAAAAAATGAGAGATTGCAGTGTAAATACCCATTCAGATCTCTGGGGACTTTGGTGGTGTTTTCGATATCATCCAACCCCTTTAAAGAACAGTACTACTAGTCGTTTAAAATTTAATACAGTGAAATGACGAAAAAGGGGTTGCAATCTTTTGAGTCTTAAAAAGGTGACAATTTCGAGGAGTGGAGTTCATTTCATCATGTTTCTCGCTGACAGGTTCTTGTTCCTAATTTACATTACGATCCTCAACCCCTTCGGCATTCGCACAGATTAAGCAAGGCCTACGCCCTCTTGAAGGAAAGACTACGACCACTGAGTCCAGACATTGCGCTTTCGACGTTCGTGACTGTACCATTCTTCCCGGATCGGGATTGCTGTTAACAATGATTTGTACTTTTCAGATTCAACAAAGAGACGGCTAATTTTGTTTATTTTATTAACTTTATAGTTTGATTAAAAGTAGGACGATAGGTCTAAAAAGAAATTGCAAGTTGCAACAACCTTCATAAAAAAGTAATATTGCAAAAATAACCCTATTCTGAATATGGACAATCCCTTCCTTCAACGGGTCAGATGCCAACTAAGGTCATACCATCCACAGTACTGCAGTGCTAGTGCCAGTTACGAACTATATGCTACTTACCTGCTTATTATACCCGTATATTAAAAGAAGTTAGATTAGAACAGACTAATTTGGGCTAAAATGCCTTCTGAAACGGTCGGAACTGAGGCAAATCCTGGTACTTTGTCTGCGGTTGCAGGACTGATTGGTCTTGATGCACCCAGCTTTCTTTTTCTGTTGACGCTACTGTCATGTAAGTCACTATTAAGTGGACACTTTAAATGTCTCTTGCACTTCACGATCACGTTAGCCTAGCCATGGCCTTGCTAGCTGCCGTGCAGCTAGCTTAGCTCACAGTCGCGCATGCTATGCTAGCGCGTCAGTGGTTTTTGGCTGAGGGTCGAGAACCAGCCATGGACATGCACACAGCTACGCATTATTTAAGCTACTACAAACGACTACTTCCAGAACTGTAAGGTTTATCCGGTTCGTCAGTTTACATGGTTTAAACCATGCCTGATGCCCACTGCACACAGAGTTACATGCAGTGATGATGCACTGATCACCGTTTACGTGGAACCATGGAACAAGAAGTTAATGCGCAACTTCAGTGATCGTCCAATGGGAGCCGCAAATCTTGGCGCTCCCGCCTTTGTGATGAAGTCTCTTACGAATCGGATGCAAACCAAACTAAAGCTAACGTGAGTCAGGAAGCACGGATACATCAGCCGCGAATAGCTTTTGGAAATGTTAAAGGTGCACACTGTCACTTGGTGACTACTGGCAAGTCCGGCATAAACATTGTCATTGCTCCTGCATATANTGTTAATCGTATGTAGTCTGGGCCGGGGAACGGACTTTGCACAGAATTCTCTACATATTAGAGGTAGAGACCAGATTCAATTTTTCAGTCGCTGCACATGTGATTTTGTCGGGGACACCGCCGGAATAGTGTCAGGGAATCGGTCTATAAATAGTAGTGCACTAGTACATGTACGCGTATGGGATGGGGCAACGCACGTGGGCCAGTGGCTGGTTAGCGTAATGTGTGTTGCTGTGTGCACGGTACAAAATGTACATTGGGGCTACGTACAGTGTACACGTACATCATGGCTCTCGGCTGAATAATTTAGTAGGCCTGCGTTAATAATGTTTGATCAAAATTGAGTGACCTCCATGGACCACCATGTGACCACTGGGCGAATTCTTTTTTAACCGTACGTAAGGCTTGCTGCAGAGATGAAAACGATCAAGTTTTACATTTGGACAACCAGCAGAAGAATGTTTTGAAAAAAATGACCCCCACTGACCATTAGGTGACCATCGGCCAAATTTTGTTAACCACCCACATGGTGTTTCCTGCAAAGATGTAACCACCCTAATTTGAGATTGATTGAATCATCACGGGGGTGAGAAAAGTTATTTTGTATTTTTAATGCGAATGACCACTAGTGAGCACTAGGTGACCTTTGACTCTGTACGCTGGTCAATTAGGACAGGAAAACACATCCAAAGACATGATAGATACTCGTAGACAGGTAAGCTTTTGCAGCTTACATGTATCCGGTCACAAGTGGACAAGGGTCATCTTCAGACTAATCTTAATAACCTTCTCCATTGGTCGTTTGTCCCTGCTACTGCTTACTTTTGGGGGGGCGGATTTGTTAATTGTGCATTTTGTTCCATTTTGTTATGTTCTGTTATTGTGATGGTCGATAAAGAATAATAATTCTTAACACCCAGAAACCTTCGTTTTATAGTTTGCCAAGTTAGATAGTTTCCAATGCGCTTACCAACTTATGTCACTGAGCGACTTCAGTCATGTACTCCAGAGCTACTGAGTGGTTCCCATCCCATCCATGCCATTCCAATTTTAGCAGAGGGAAACGGTTTCATTTTGTGATTTGACTTCCATTTTGAGGCAGGATTCGATCACTCTAGACCTACACATCTACAAACACAAAGCTAAATCAACTTCGGATATGGTTGAGATTACCCTGCCCATTTTCCACCAAAAAAGATTCCTTTATTTTTGGTCCAATTTGCTGTTACCACAGTTGCTTGGGATCAGTGGAGCTTTCCTTGTGTGATTGCATTGATTGCATCTTTGTTTCCTGACCAGTTTTTTAGTAACAATTTGGAAAGATTGTGTGGAAACAAAAACTTTTGTGTACATGAGTTTGTTTCTGCATTCAGTTGGGGACCTTGAACAATAGAGGACAATAAGGTCCCCGATTGACAGAGGGTCCCCGNGGACTTTGCACAGAATACTCTACATATTAGAGGTAGAGACCAGATTCAATTTTTCTGTCGCTGCACATGTGATTTTGTCGGGGACACCGCCGGAATAGTGTCAGGGAATCGGTCTATAAATAGTAGTGCACTAGTACATGTACGCGTATGGGATGGGGCAACGCACGTGGACCAGTGGCTGGTTAGCGTAATGTGCGTTGCTGTGTGCACGGTACAAAATGTACATTGGGGCTACGTACAGTGTACATGTACATCATGGCTCTCGGCTGAATAATTTAGTAGGCTTGCATTAATAATGTTTTTTTCTGACATTGTTGACTGATATGCATGTACCAGTACACAGGTGTATACCGTGCTTCATCAAGGCTCTGATAGAACAACATAAACGCACATTGTTAACCTGGTCAGCTGGGCTCAATTTCATAGCACTGCTTATAAACATTTTGCAGGAAAGTTGTGCTAGCTATTGCATAACATTGTCAGTTTTCCAACTGTAAGTAACATTTCATGGTGGTGCTAGGCGTGGTTGTGCTTACAGTCGGGCGCGCATAGATATTTCCACCATTTTGTCACGGCATGTAGCAAATTCTTCCTCCCAGGTAAGCTTGCCTTTTGCCATGCCTACTGCTTACGATCTCCGTGCAATATGCAGAGCCTCAATTAGCATAAAATTGTGTGCTTAGCAGCGCGGTGAAATTGGGCCCTTGACTTAATGGACTTGCTGACTTATACAGCAGCAAAGGGCATGTCACAGGTTGTGCGGGTTCAATGGAAGTTTGTGAACTGTGCAGTATTTCTGCACTGTCTGAAGGTGTAGAATTCTTCTTGTACACAGTATTGAAAGTCTGAGATCTGTGGACTAGAGCTTGAGTAATATTCTCAGTGGAATCTATTTCCTTCTAGGTTATCCCTTGTGCTATGTGTCAAGGACCTACTTGCATGGCCAGGCACAAACCATCAAGCATGTCTACTTCACTCTGTGCGGCCTCACGCTGGCATCTCTTAACTTTGGTAATTTTTTTTGGAAGACAGATCTTCCAGTTTATATGCCCTCGTCGGTGTCACTTCTCACCATTTGGTTTATATTTCTTCACAGTGAACCCTTGGTTATTCCATGATCACAAGTTGAACACTGAATAATGCACCACTCCTTTGTCTTACACGTACACACCACAAGGCTGTTGATGGCTTGAATCAAAAAATAATTCACTGGCTCGTTACAACACTAGCACTGTTGGGCTCAGATTTATAAGTACTTACACTCACATTTTCTCCCGTAACCATTTGCATTACTACCAAACCAGCCATGGGTGTTGGAAAAATATGTTTGCTGTTGTTCAACCTGCTACACTGATTATTTTAAACTAAGTTGATTCAATCAATATGGAATATCAAAATTGGCTTTTGCAGGCTATGACATCGTCCATTCGATGATCTCCCTGCTGGTCAACTACATCCTGCTGGTTACTGTAGGAGGAAGCCAGTTCTCCGTAGCTCTGTCTTTTGCCTTCAACATGGTGAGTTGGGTCGTGTCCAAAAGGGAATTGTTGCCTATGGCTATGGCTTGTCACTGCAGGGTGGCAGCTGAAAAACTGAGACCAAATGGCCTCAAATACCTCATTCAGACACTGCCTTGGTCACAGATGCATTCAGATGTAGCCAATACAGTCAATTTTTAGGTTGGGGGTGGGATAGAGTTGTTTTGGGTTGATTTTCCAAGTCTAAAAATGACTTGCTCAACCATTCAGATTCTTCTGCTGCAAAGAAATTGCTAAAAACTAACTGCACCAGTTCGAAGTTTGGTCCATCTTTTCCCGAGTCCCAAGATCAAGTCTGCTAGATCTTTGTGCTTACTAGCAGTCAATTATTATCCACTGATTGTTCCCAACTGGTCATATTCCTCATGCTACTGGTAAATGCTGTGTGTGCTTAATTTCTGCAATACCACCATACACTTGGGGGCTCAGGAAAGGACTGGACCCCAGTGGTGGCGTGGACTTGGTAACTTTTGCTCCCTTGTGTAAGAGAAAGTAAGATGTTAGGCTGCATCCGAGTTTGTAGTCTGCAACTGAAGTTAGGGCTTCTCCCACTGGAAATATGTGGGACATGCTGACAATAGGCATAGCCTTAACTCTAGATGCCTACTGCAGGGTTCCAGCTGCCGTTCGCCATTCTTGCCAATTGGCAAATAATTATGATTTTGGCTAATGTTCCATTGACCTGGCGAGAATAATTGGCGATTATTTTGCAAATTTAGACAAACCTTATTACTTGTTCGTCTCTGAAATGTCATAGTGGTATAAATAATACTCGTAACATTAATACTGTTAATTTCCAACTTTCACGAACAGTTCCCTTTGACGTTCGCTGTGGCAGTGGTGAAAACACGTGCGCAAAGCTCACTGCATTAAACAAAGCTGCTCTGGTTCCCGCCGCGCTACCCACATGCAAAAGAATGCGTGATGGAAATGAAGCAACCAGAACCAGTCTATACATGTACTGTACATTCCGGTCGATTACTTTACATCAGCGGCACACGCATATCGCATGCAACCCGAAAGCTGCAGGTCAGGAAAAAAAAATTGATGTTGCAAGAGGTTTTCTGGAGGTTAATTCACAGAACTTGATCTCTTATTTATGTATGTATTTTCTGTGTTCATGAGTTTATTTTGAGGTTGTTTTGCACGTACTTGAAGCAAAAGTGTTTCAAAAAATTTTGATGTAGTTTTCATTAAATGTCACTCTGTTTATAATTGATCCATTTGAAAGCAGTTCACACAAACTGAAAAGAATCAGAGTGAATGATGTGTCTTTTGTTTATCTTTATTGTCAAACAAATTGGCTACAAAAATACATGATGTTGGCTCGTAAATTTGTAGGATGGCTAAAAAATCAAACATTTGGCTACAACTTTGGCTATTAATTGAAGTTTTCCAGCTGGAACCCTGCTACTGGTATTTCAGACCTGGCCTAAGTTTGGAGTCACGTCGCTTGCTGCTTTAGACCTTCACTGAAAGTTTCTTAAACAGAAACTCTGGTGCATGGCTTCGCGGCAAGATTGGTTTACACTCCATGTTGTCTGTCGGCTTTCACCCACCTTTCTAATACTGTTCAGGGTTATCTGCTGATCGCCTACATCGTGGTGTCCACCGATGGCTACGACGTCAACTGGACCACGCCCCACTGCATCTTGACCCTGAGGATGATCGGCACAGCCTTTGACCTCTACGACGGCCACAGGGACGAGGCAAGTGCGATTTCAAATGAGAAAACAGCGACTGTGAACTCCCGCTCTGTGTATTTCTGGAGGACATTGTTCACGCTACTCACAGAACAGTGGTTCTTTGATTTTCTGACCTCAAATGTGTGGACGTTACGTGTTGAAATCCTGCTCGGGTCAATTTTCCTCTCATTTTACCAAACTGATTGTATTCACAAGCCGGCCAAAATAAATTAAACACAAGGTAAGGGGCTCATTTCATTCAGGGAACGTGATTCAGGCAAAACACCCAATATGAAAGTTTCCACCTCCCCAACAAATGTTTGCTTGCCGGATGCCGGCAAGTTCTAGTAAGACATCTGCATTAGTAGGCAGGAGGTCGTGGGATCAAGCCCACCCATGTAATCCCATGATTTTTTGTTCACAAGCCATTACACATTGAGTATACAGTGTTTGTAAATAATTTTATATTACTAATAAGGGCAAATACCCTAGGTAAAAGGAGTTGCCTTCCCTTTTACAGAGCAAGCTCAGTGCTGAGCAGAAGGAGTTAAACATCAAGACCACGCCCACACTGCTGGAAATGTGTGGCCACACCTACTTCCCGGGGGGTTTCTTCGCTGGCCCCCAGTTCCCCATGCGCCGGTACCTTGACTTCACCGCAGAAAAACTCCTGGACAACGACGAGGGGCGCCTGCCCGACTGCGTCATGCCTGCGTTCAACCGGCTTGGGGCAGCGGCGCTGTACGCCCTTCTGGAGTGTGTGCTGGCACCCATCTACTCTAATGAGTTCTTGCTGTCGGAAGAGTTTGCTGTGAGTTCCTTTTTCTCCTTGAACAGTCACAGTGCCCCACTCTCACAAGATTGAAACCGACCCTTCCTGGCAGGTACAGCCACACTTTCACAGTGACAAAGGTCAAAGGTCACAGTGACCAAAGCAGGTACTTTCAATTTGAAAATGACGATTGCAGATTTAGATGGATGATGGTGTGCTGCATTTGTCCACTTGTCTTGTGGCATGCAGACAGGTAGTATCAGACAAAATTGAATGATGGTGGTTGTTGGGCCAACCAAATAGAATGAAATCTTAATAACCCACAAACTCCACAGGCCCTCCCCTCTACATCTGCTTGTCGTAGAATTTCGAGTCGTCACTGCTAAGCATGCTTCGTCTTTCCACACTGGGATGACTGTACATAATGCATGGTCTGTCCCCAAACCAAACCTAACAAGTAACTGCAGTTGTCCTGGCTTTCAGGCTAGCCTGATTGCCACCATATACCCGAGTGTAACTTCTGCACAGGCAGTCCAATCTCTGACTCTGCTGGGCTCAACGTCACTGCAAAAGGACAGGTCATGTGACTACACGTAGGAAAACCCCATTAATTGAATGCCGTGCGCATTGCTCTTTTAGCACGGTACACTAAACAGTACCACAGATTTGCTGCCCAAAGGTTTAACGTTTTGGGGGTTTATTGTTGATTTGATCAATTGAAAAGAAACATTCAGGTGACAACATAAACTTTTGGTAAAACAATGATTTGTGAGCAAAACTATGTACCGTTATAATGAATTAAATGAAGGAAACGACCACATTGCCAGTTGCCAGTGAATTGGTTTGATCAAAACGATGTACTGTTATAATGAATTAAATGAAGGAAACGACCACAAAACATTGCCAGTTGCTAGTGAATTGGTTTGATCAATCATGTACACGTATACAGTGCATGCCACACCTTATTTCAGGAACTTTCGTTAGCTCGAAATTCGGTTAATTCAGATTTTTTTCATCCATTCCACTGAGGTTTGTCTCATTGAGATTTTACTCTACAGACGTGTACACACCCGTGTATGTACGTGATGATTTCTGACTGGGAAAATGTTTCGAAAGACAGAAGTAGGACAGTACCATATTTCTTAGCCTCTCTTCTCTTTAAATACTTGAACATCACCCTGTAATGTTGCCAAATTTGTGGGGGCTGATAATTTGGAATCCTGGCTG